ATCATGTTATATACATATATACAGAATCCAAAATTTTAAAAAAATCCAAATTCCAAAACACCAGGTATTTTAAATAGGGGATGCTCAACCTGTATTTGGATTTGTAACTTTCTTGGAATGAAATGAGTCGTATAGTTTAAGCCACGAGAAAGGAAGGAAGCAGATGCCACATAGCTATAAGGGATAGAAGAGGATTGACTTGAGGAAAGGCGAAGGATATGGCTTCTGAGTTGATGGCTCTTACCTAAGGTTTCATAAATGAAAAGCAAAGTAGGAGAGAGAGAGGACGATTGGCTCTAAATCAGGCATGGGCAAACTTTGGCCCTCCAGGGGTTTTGGACTTCAACTCCCACAATTCCTAACCGCCAATAGGCTGTTAGGAATTGTGGGAGTTGAATTCCAAAACCCCTGGAAGGCCTAAGTTTGCTCATGCCTGCTCTAAAGAGAATGGCACTTTGGAAGAGAACAGAAAAAATGCATTTTCTGTGTGTCTCATAATATAGAAGGGTAATAATTGCAAATATGAATTAGAAGCTTGATTCTGCATTCCTCAGCATACTCAATGTACTCTTTTTTAAATACATATAATTTAACATGGAATTTAATAACTGTAGTAAAAGCAACTTACAATGAACAGTACATTATGAAGAGCAAATCGGTATAGCTGGAAGATAATATAGAAAGAAACAACTGTGCATTGATATGTCTTGCTAGAATGATACATTAGTTGGCTACTTTAAATTTTGTGGCAGGGCTACAGCTGGGATGTTGGGGAGGAGCTGGAGTGTGAGAATGAGCTTATTCAGTGGCTGAGTCAATATTACTGATGCATACTTGTTCTCTTCTATAACCGGGTCTGTCAGCTGGTCCACTTTTTGTTTATAGATCAGACAGAGGGACATTCAGATAGTTTAAGTCTGGATTCTTGATCATGTCACACACTCACAGAAGTGTGAAATCATGCTTTAGAAGATGCTTTGCCTACATGTACATTTTTTTTTAATTCTTCATCATTCCTGCCAAATGATATATAGGAAACTATTAAACTGCTTTCAAAACACTTGCTCATTAAATGTATATAATAATAATCATCATCATCATCCCAGGTGACAGCAGGATTGAAACAACTGGAAAAGCTGACACGATACGAGGATTTAAAGAACTGCAAAAACTCTGGCACAAACCAGTCAAGGTGGTCCCGGTGATGATCAGCGCACTAGGTGCAGTGCCTAAAGACCTTGGCCTGCACTTAAACACAATCGGCGCTGACAAAATAACCATCTGCCAGCTGCAAAAGGCCACCTTACTGGGAACCACATGCATTATTCACCAGTACATCACACAGTCCTAGACACTTGGGAAGTGTCTGACATGTGATCCAGTACAACAGCCAGCAGAGTGTCTGCTGTGGACTCACCTTGTTGTGTTTCAAATAATAATAATAATCTTTATTTATACCCCGCCACCGTCTCCTCGATGGCTACTCGGGGCAGCTATCATGAGGCCAAGCCCCAAAATACAATACAGCATAATAAAATACAGAATGAAAAGAACAATAAATTACATCAGAAAATAGTTACAGTAGCAAAATAAAATAAATAAAGCAAATTAACACAATATAAAATCGAACAGGATGGGCAGGCCAAATGGATGAGATACAATGATAAAACCCTGGGTGAGGTAGGAATAGAAAATTTGTGAGGGGAGCCCAAGAATTATAAAACAGTGGGGTAAGGCTTTCAGTTTAGGATGGGGGAAAGTGCATCATAACTACTCAATAGTTATGTGATGATTGCAGCTGACAACATTTGTGAAGGCAAATTATCAAAGTTCAGTCTAACTTAGAAAATTATATTCTGTATTTTGAATCTGGTTTAAATAAATAGTGTCTTGCACAGTTAACTTCCTTACAACTCCTAAAGATTTATTTAATTTGGGGAAATACTGTAGTTTTAACTATTTCTTCCTTGTTTTGTTCAAACTAAAGTTTGATGCTTAGTAGAAGCATTTCTTAGATATTTTTAGTCGTGCTGTTTTTCCTACAGAAAAATATTCTTAAGCTTTTTTGCAGAATGGGGTGTAGGCATCTGTCCTTTTTCCTTTTATCATGGTGATAAAATCAGGTAAAATAGTCATTTATGAACAGAATATTCCACATCAGAATGTTTCTTTCCCCCACTCATCAGTTCACAATTCTTAATAATATTTATTTATTTGATCAGTCATATGACCATTTCAAAATAGAACATGAGTAAACAATTCTAAACAATTCATCAGTTCACAATTCTATACAGACATCCTCTCCAAACATGTAATAAGTACATGTCCGAGAACCACATTGGCAGATAGTCATGAAAACTCTTTTCATGGGTGGCATACAAATAAACAATACAGGAGAGAATGGGTAGAAGTGGTTAGGGTTGAATAATATCCTTCAAATTAGGGTGAGAGCTGAGGGAAAGAGGAAAGAAAATGTATCACTGGTGTATTCTTGTTATAGACTCTTGTTTCTTTAAAAGGTTGCTTGCAAACAGGGAAAGTATGATGTACCATATATACTCAAGTATAAACTGAGTTTTTCAGCCCTTTTTTAGGCTGAAAAAGTCCCCCTCGGCTTATACTTGAGAGTCATAGTAGTATTTATTTATTTGATCAGTCATATGACCATTTCAAAATAAAACACGAGTAAAAAACAAGGCAACAAGGTGATAAGTCAGACTCTTATTTTCCTGGTTCTTCTTTCAGGAAATTGCTCTTTTCTTAATAGCTATACTTGAGAGTCAAATTTATTTATTATTTTACTCTGTTATTATTATTGTTACATTTATTATTACATTTATTATTTTACTCTATTTATTATTATTACATTTACATTGTTTTACTCTATTATTATTTTATTACATTTATTTTACTCTATTATTACATTTATTATTTTACTCTATTATTATTGGGAGGATACATAAGCACATTTACTACATAATTTGACTGCTCTAGCATTGCTTACATTTTTGTTCAATTATTGACTCACAAGAATACTGCTCACCTACTGTTAAAGGAGCAGTGCTGTCTGATCTGTGAAACTGGCAAGCCCCCCGCCCCAATATACCAGAGACTTGTATTTCATGTATGACCACAGCTGTTTCTTTCCTTGAAACCCATTTTTGAATGAGTTGTACATGGTTCACAGACCATGTACAACTCTAGGAGTCTAGAGATAGCCATTTTGAGCAATAAGGAGCTGATGTGCTTTTGTTTTTGTAATATTAATGTGGGTTGATTTCTGGTAAAATTGCCAACCCTGAAAACATGTCGGGGAAACAGCTAGAAAGCTTTGAGACTAGATGCAAAGCATTCCTCATTTTTCTCACAGCTCATGTTTTAAATAGATCTACATCCGCACTAATTTCCTGTCCACATTCCTTGGAAATGCAAGAAGGGGAGAGTAAATAATAAAGAATGTTGATCTCTGTGTCCAAGATTCAAGTCTCTCCGTATCAGTTGCAATTCAGTATTTGTTTTGGAATAAATCCTAATAACACTGTAATAGATACTCTATGTAGTATGCACTAGTATTAGACAGATAGAACTGTATACATTGAACCACCAGAAAGCAAACCTTAGCCAGCTATGTGGACAATTTTGGAGTATTTCAGAATTCTGATTTCCTGAAAGGGATACTAATCCTCGTTGGTGTATTAGATGCTAAAGGATTTACCACCTGCAGCTGCATTAATCCTAGGGCAGAAGCAAAAGCTACTTGTTTAGAATCAGAGTTTGAACGTTTTACCTTTCCTCCAGAATATGTGGTGTAATGTAAAATAAACCACGTGTAATTCACGTTTGATCAGCCCATACACTGCCTTTCCAGAGGAAGAAAATATGCCACACAAATGTTTATTTTACTTAAGTGATATTTGTCTTTACTGTTCTAATGTATCACAAATTCTATGTAAAATCATACTACGTATTTTGACATTAATATTGAAATCTGAAATATATACAGAAAGTCTTTACTTTCTGTATATATTTCAGATTTTCTGTATATATTTTAGATTTCAATATTAATGTCAAAAATGAAGAACAAGTGGTTTACTCTTCGTAAATCAGAGCAACATATTTACAGTCGTGTGATCAGTTGCATCGACTCACATAATATCCTTTTATGAGAGATTTAAAATGGTCTTTTTTTGTCCATGTGCAGAAACTCCTCCAGCAACTCATGAAGCAAGAGTACACTCTAAACCGTCTCTCTCTGCTTATTTGCAAGCATCTGCATAGCTCAAACCTGAAAAATGTAACAGTACCAAAAGTCCCAGGCTCAGCCAGCTCCCTGGGCATAGCCCAACCAATCAGCTTCATGCATCTTATTTTACAGTTGACACACACAAACTAACTGATTTCTTAAATGCTCCAACAGAATATGCCTGACAAGAATTTGAGAGTATATTGTCTTTCTAAATTGTATAGACAACATTAGTTGTCTATATAAACTGTTTCCAGTTCAACAGGACTTGTGTATTTGGGGAAATTGTCTGATAATAGGAAAGATATGTCAGAGAATAGGAAATTAGGTTGTTTTCATTGTGAAGTTCCTTGCAATTGAACAAAGCATATTTCTGTTCCTATTGCTCCAAGTCTACTTGTGGAAGACATCATACTAATTTTTATTGGCAGAATTTCCTGCATTTCTAGTTTTCCTCACCATAAGAGCTATTGCTGTGGCATCCATGGGTGTCCATTTCCAAAATTACTGCTCATATAGATGTTACTGAATCCCTTGAACAGTTACTTGCAGGTAGCTAGTTCATATTATGCAGATAGGTATTTCAGAAACAGTTTACGTGCTGCTTTGTAGAAGAATGGGAGAAGAGGGATTGCTCTCTGTGGGTGTTTTCCTTGTGTTTTATCTCAATTTGCCTGCATGTTTCTGCACGTACAAGATAAACTGTTGCTGGGTTTTGGTTTCACAGTTCTTGATAAAACATCTGCCTATTCAACAGGCTCCTGGGTAGAGTTGCAAATGAATGGAAATGGAAATGGCAATGACAATGGCAATGCAAAAAATGGGGGCCTGGAGCATGTTCCCTCTTCATCTTCTATCCACAATGGAGACATGGAGAAGATACTTCTAGATGCTCAACATGAGTCAGGGCAGAGCAGTTCGAGGGGTAGCTCCCACTGTGATAGGTAAGTATTCAAACTCTGACAAATTATTATATTTGTTTCCTATCGAAACTGCAGGTCCTTAATTTCAGATGAACCAGTGCCTTATTTCTTGCCTTTTTGTTGTTAACATTCAGAATGTGATCCTATCTGTGTATACTCAGAAATAAGGCCCATTGAGTTCAGCATGCCTTGTACAGTAGTCAAGCTTCTATAGGACTGCAATATTCCTTCTCCTATTGCAGTGTTTCTCAACCTGGAGATCGGGACCCCTGGAGGGGGGGTCATGAGGGGGTTTCAGAGGGGTTGCCAAAGACCTCAAGGCAACACATATTTCTGATGGTCTTAGGAATCCCTTTGGCAGAGAAAGCTGAAGATCTCTCCGCCTGTCCTCTCTTCATTTCTGGAAACAGACAGTGAATCCTCCCACCAAAAGCTCTCCTCCGCTGTGATTGGCTGGCCTCTCAGCCAAGGGGAGGGCTGTTTCTGATACTTCAAGCAGGGAGGGGAGTGCAGGCGTTCTTGACACATGGCAGCATGGTGCACATGTGCGGGGCAAGGGAGAGCTTGTGAGGCTAGAGGGAGGCTCACGCCAGCTAGTGCCTTCAAGGCAGGGGGTTCAGTGTGGGAAGTTTGGTCCAATTCTGTTGTTGGTGGGGTTCGGAATGCTTTTTGATTGTAGATGAACTATAAATCCCAGCAACTACAACTCCCAAATACCAAGAAAGATTTTGCCCAAACTTCAGTAGTGTTCAAATCCAGGCATATTGAGTATTCATACCAAGTCTGGTCCAGATCCTTAATTGTTTGAGTCCACAGTGCTCTCTGCATATAGCTGAACTACAACTCCAAAACACAAGGTCAGTGCTCACCAAACCCTTCCAGGATTTTCTGTTAGTCATGGGAGTTCTGTGTGCCTAGTTTGGTTTGATTCCATCATTGATGGAGTTCAGAATACTCTTTGATTGTAGGTGAGCTATAAATCCCAGCAATTACAACTCCCAGATGACAAAAACAAAATCAATCTCTCCCCCCCCCCCCCCCCCCCCCCCCCCCCAGCTACCCCAACAGTGTTCAGTTTTGGGTGTACTGGATATTTGTGCCAGATTTGGTCCAGTGAATGAAAATACATCCTGCATATCAGATATTTACATTACGATTCATAACAGCAGTAAAATGACAGTTATGAAGTAGCAACAAAATAATGTTATGGTTGGTGGGTCACCACAACATGAGGAACTGTATTAAGGGGTCACAGAATTAGGCAGATTGAGAAACACTGCCCTATTGGAACAGTCTGAAATAAATAGGGCTTAAATTAGTCATTGGGCCTGCTCGAACCATAGCTAAGTTGTTTCCTAGATGTTTTCCAAAGTAATATGCTAGTGGCATTGGTACTGCTAGGGTTGTAATCCTTTTATCAGGACCTGTTCAGTTGTCTCATCTTGAACATATTCTCCCCACCCCCCTGCGCCCCCTCACATACAGAATCAGTACTAGTATCTTAGCAAACAATTCACACATTCCTGGGTCCCATGATTTGGCTTGGCCCCCAGATTCCCCACAATTGCTGTTTCCTAGGATACATATGTGTTTTTTTTAATTCTTGTTTTGCCTTCACTAAAAATAATACATTTCTTTCTCTGAAATGTGCAAACACATTCTCATCAGTTCATTCTGTCTAATTTATAATATCATAATGCAATACAATATAATACTTATAATAATAATATGATATTATAATTATATAATATATTTTATATTACATGGAATATTACTAATAATATTGCAATATAATGGTACAGTACAATATAGTAATATGTATTGTCGAAGGCTTTCATGGCCGGAATCACTGGTTTGTTGTAGGTTTTTTCGGGCTGTATGGCCATGGTCTAGAGGCATTCTCTCCTGACATTTCGCCTCTGGGGGTCGGGACCTCTGAGGGGGTCAAGAGGGGGTGTCAGAGGGGTCGCCAAAAGACCATCAGAAAACACAGTATTTTCTGTTGGTCATGGGGGTTCTGTGTGGGAAGTTTGGCCCAATTCTATCATTGTTGGGGTTCAGAACGCTCCTTGATTGTAGGTGAACTATAAATCCCAGCAAGTACAACTCCCAAATCTCAAGGTCTATTTTCCCAAAACCCCACAAGTGTTCACATTTGGGCATATGGAGTATCCATGCCAAGTTTGGTCCAGATCCATCATTGTTGGAGTCTAGAGTGCTCTCTGGATATAGGCTAACTTCAACTCCCAAACTCAAGGTCAATGCCCACCAAACCCTTCCAGTATTTTCTGTTGGTCATGGGAGTTCTGTGTGCCAAGTTTGGTTCAATTCCATTGTTGGTGGAGTTCAGAATGCTCTTTGATTGTAGGTTAACTATAAATCCCAGCAACTACAACTCCCAAATGACAAAATCAATCCCCCCCAACCCCACCAGTATTCAAATTTGGGCATACCGGGTATTTGTGCCAAATTTGCTCCAGTGAATGAAAATACATCCTGCAGATCATTATTTACATGGCGATTCATAATGTGAGGGTTATGGTTGGGGGTCACCACAACATGAGGAACTGTATTAAGGGGTCGCGGCATTAGGAAGGTTGAGAAACACTATTCTAGACCATGGCCATACAGCCCGAAAAAACCTACAACAACCAAATATATATATAATACTGATACTGTACTATGCTAATATATAATATATTGTATGTATATATATCTTGTAAGCTGCTCTGAGTCCTCTTTGGGGTGAGAAAGGTGTATATAAATGTAAATAAATACATAAATAATGTGTCTTTTAAATGTTTACACATCTCTCTTTGTTACAAAAGTTGTAAGTATAAATAGTACCATAATAAATATGCTCTCTAATCATATTTGTAGTAACATGATTTCATCCCTTATTTTTTAGCCCTTCTCCTCAAGAAGATGGACAGATAATGTTCGACGTGGAAATGCACACAAGTAAAGACAATAGTTCTCAGGTACTTATTCCATGACTTACAAACATTTGTATGTACTAGATAAATGTAGCATCATTTAAACCAGGCAGCCTCAAACTGCGGGCCTCCAACTGTTTGGGCCTCCAACTCCCTGAAGCCTTAATGAGCGTATGCAATTGTCAGAAATTCTGGGAGTTGAAGGCCTAAACAGCTGGAGGACCGCAGTTTGAGGATGCCTGATCTAAACTATTTTCTAGTAGGGAGTTTTCACTTCCTTGAACCATACAGAATGCCATAATCTAGGGTTCAGGGTTTTGCATCATCACTACTTCCTGCTTGTCTATTTCAGGTGCAATTAGAATTGTATGTTATAATATTTAAGTATGTTCTAATATGGAGTCCCTGGTGGCGCAGTGGGTTAAACCCCTTTTTGCCGGCAGAACTGAAGACTGACGGGTCACAGGTTCGAATCCAGGGAGAGCACGGATGAGCTCCCTCTGTCAGCTCCAGCTCCTCATGCGGGGACATTTATTTGCAGTATTTATATACCGCCTTTCTCACCCTTGCGGGGACTCAAAGCCTCCCACAAGGATGATAAAACATTAAAAAAATCCAGGTGTTCCCTAGACAACATCCTTGCAGATGGCCAATTCTCTCACACCAGAAGCAACTTGCAGTTTCTAAAGTCACTCCTGACACAAGAAATAATAATAATAATAATAATAATAATAATAATAATAATAATAATAATGCTTGCTATATGGTTCAGGATGCCCCCCGGTGGCATATTTATTTATTTAAAACTTTTATATCCCGATCTTCTCAACCTCCGTAGAGGGACTCAGACTGGCTTACAGCAAGGATTTCAATGCTAACAGTACAATCTAAAAACATATAATAACGAGTTAAACTACATATTGATTAAAATTACAAATAAGCCAAATCGCCAAGATAAAATCATGTCCAACTCAGTCCGTATGTGTGGTCGATAACTTTGTTCTGTAGCCAGTTTCAACCATTACTCTGGGAATGCTTCCTTCCATAGCCAGGATTTCACCAGCCTCCTGAAGGACAGGAGGGAGGGGGCAGATCTGATCTCAATTGGGAGAGAGTTCCGTAGCCGAGGGGCCACCACAGAAAAGGCCCTGTCTCTCCTTCCTGCCAGACACGATTGCGAAAGTGGCAGGACTGAGAGCAGGGCCCCACCAGAAGATCTTAATTGTCTTGGTGGTTCATAGGGGAGAATACATTCGGACAGGTGAACCGGGCATAGTGGGTTAAATCTCTGAGCTGCTGAACTTGCTGACCAAAAGTTTGGTGTTTTGAAACCAGGAAGTGGGGTTTGCTTCTGGGGTTAGCCCCAGCTTCTGCCAACCTAGCAGTTCGAAAACATGCAAATGTAAGTAGATCAATAGGTACCACTTCTGTAGGAAGGTAGCAGCACTCCATGCAGTCATGCTGGCCGTGTGACCTTGGAGGTGTCTACGGACCACACCAGCTCTTTAGACTTAGAAATGGAGATGAGTGCAACCCCCCAGAGTTGGACAATACTAGACTTAATGTCAAGGGGGACCTTTACCTTTACTTTATTTGCTCTCTGAAGGTCCGTATCTTCCTACATGAGCCTCCCTAGGCTCTTAGAACAATAACGAAGGCTCTTCTGCTACCTGCCCAGGAATATTTGGTGGGAACAGAGGAGAGAGTCTTCCCAATGGCTGTTCCCAAGCTTTTGGCCTCCTGCTCTGAGTAGGCTAGGATGAGACTCTCCTTGATGACATTTCATCAACAAATGAAAGGTTATTTTTGGAAATTGACTGCTATCACTGTTAAGGGTTATCATCATTTATACATTTGGATTTGTTTTAAAGAGCTTTAATTCTGTTAGTTATTTAATTTCACTTTGAAATACCTTTATATGTTTTTATTTATCTCTTTGTAAGTGCTGCTTGAGTCTCAATATTGAGGGAAAAGCCGAGATACACATGAAATCATCATCAGCGTCGTTTTGTTTCTCACAAAGCGACTTTTTCAAATATTGTAATATCTGTGGTAGAGTAACAAGCAAACAAGTACTGACTGCTTTACAAGCTGATGTTGTTAATAATGATACAATGTAGATTATTAAAAATGGATTTGGATTTCACCAGTTAGTTCTAAATTCAATTTATATTATTTATTCAGTTGATTTCCCAGCTTTCTTCTGGCACAGGATTATGTAATGAAATATGTGTTTATTGGCCAGGCACAAGTCTGGATGTATTTAGGGGGAATTATTCTTGTTGCTTTGCATTCTCCCAACCTATAGAGCGATTTTATTTCGATCAATTAGAATTTCTCCCCTCTTTTCAGGTTTTGAATGCCGCAGGATGCTTGATCAGATGCAAACATTTCAGAAATGTTTATAGCAGTGGGCAAAAGGGACAGTTCCTGAGGAATTCCCTGTTGTATTCTTGTATTTTAAAATATTGCATATTCTGGACGGCGTTTTGATATCCTCTGGTTTCAGATAATGTTTAGTTTTCCCAGTTGTTACCTCTTTATGTGGATAACCAGAGAGGAATGCTTATATTCCTAGCTGTACTTACAATACTTAGCACAATGTATGTGTTATGAATTTTGTCCCCTCTGTGTATATATTTTCAGTCTGAAGAGGAACCAGTTGAAGGAGAAAAGGAAGTAGATGTTCTGAAGAAAAGTGCAGATTGGGTCTCAGACTGGTCAAGTAGACCTGAAAACATTCCTCCCAAGTGAGTTGAAACCTTCACTAATAAGTCCTGATAACACTGTTCTACAAATTTTCAGTTTTTCTCAGTTGCGGAAACGAAATGTGCCGTTTCTTAATAAATTTAACATGCTGAATTCAAATATAATAATTAAATGTGTTAATTGGCTCTGGTTTTTATGCAACAGCTATTTCAATTTTCTCCACAATAGGTAATTCGTTAATATTATGATAATGCGCCTAACCTTACTGCATGTATATAAACCGTGAATATTTACTAAATTTTAGTCAAATTATATTGCCAATAGTTTATACATGAGAAATATTTATTTAATTAGTCTATTGTTTATGTTTGTGCAGCAAGAAACTATATTAGTAGGCCTAATGCAGTTGAAAAGTCTGAAAGTTTAAATGTCGCTTTAATCGTGACTTTAGTTTATATCCTGTTTGCTTCTCTTGACTTTTCTTTTGTATTCAAGGAAAGGATTGTCTCTTACAATGCTCCAGCAGTAGTCTGACAGCATTGACGGAGTCCATTGGCCTTGATATCTTTTTTCCATAGTGCTTTATTTACACACGTGCGAGGAGGCATAACTACAGTAAAAAGAACAATGTAAAACGATGTTTAACGATACTGTCTCAGTCTTCAACTGACTGACCCTCACCGTTCAAAAGTCTGGCCTTATATAGGGCTTTCTGGCTTTTGCACACGGCACTAATACTGCGTCATCAAACTTTCTAGAATATTCTAGAATCTTCCATAGTGTAAGTCGCAACATGCATTTTTTCAACCATTATATCATATAAACTAGAGCCAATATACATTTTTAAATGTCATTTTCGTTTTCAGCACCCCAAAATCATAAAAGAACAACTATTTTCAGGCCCGCAACTTTTTCTCCGTTGAACAGTGTAATTGCTTCACTGGGAAAGAATTGCTCTTGCAGTAAAATGCTAAATATTATTCTTTTTTTAAAAAAGGGTGAGGGTGACTCAGGGTGGTTCACATTTGGCAACAAGTCAATGCCACAATCATTATAACAGTTAAAACAACCATAAAATAGCATTAAAACATTTAACATACAGTATAAAATAATTAACTTTAAAAAAAATAGTAAAAACCGTACAAGCCTTAAAAACATTATCATGAGCTTATCCATGTCGTGTCATTATTCAGTTTCATCGTTAAGTCGTTCTGTGAATTTGTATAGGTATGCTATACTTGGAAAAGCTTGTAGGAAAATGGGTTTATATATCTGTGGAAAGACATGGGTGGGACAAAGGACTTTTGTCTGCTGGGAAATATTCCCCCAGGCACTTCCACGCCATTAAATGCTAATCAAGGTGATCAGTTGAAACATTCACACCTAGCTCCAGCAGACAAAAGTCCTTTGTCCCACCCTGGTCTTTCCACAGATATATAAACCCATTTTCCTACTTCCAATAGACCTCACTACCTCTGAGGATGCTTGCCATAGATGCAGGCGAAACGTCAGGAGAGAATGCCTCTAGAACATGGCCTTATAGCCCGGAAAACCTACAACAACCCAGTGATTCCGGCCATGAAAGCCTTCGACAATACAGCCTTAGATTTAATTTCTATTCCGTCATTGTGTACTTACATTGAAGAGCAGCTCTTCATAGGATTCCAACGGAATATTTTCTTTCTTTAGCACTGCGGGTAAAACGCATATGGAATATAGGTGACTTCAAGCAGACATGTTTCTCCTCTTCTTTCAAATGCTTCACAAAAATATCCATTGGCTTGTATGCATCTCAGGTCCCCAGCTTTCTAGTGGCCCACCACTTTAATAGTCTCTTTTCTGGAATGGTATCTGCTGGAGATGGAAGACATCCTAAGTTGCTGTAGCATATTGAATAACATTTTTTTAAAAAACTCATGGTGTATATTTCCTCTATCTCAGTCAGGGGTCCTCAAACTTTTTAAACAGAGGGCCAAGTCATAGCCCCTCAAACTGTTGGAGGGCCAGATTATAATTTGAGAAAAAAACAAAACATGAATGAATTCCTATGAAGATTGCACGTATATTATTTATAGCATAAAAAACACTTAAAAACAATACAATAATTAAAATGAAGAACAATTTTAACAAATATAAACTTATTAACGTTTCAGTGGGAAGTGCGGGCCTGTTTTGGGCCGATGAGATAAGGTTGTTGTTGTTGTGTGCTTTCAAGTTGTTTCAGATTTAGGTTGACCCTGAGTGACGGCCAGGTAAATTATTTATTTATTTATTTATTTATTTACAGTATTTATATACTGCCTTTCTCACCCTGGGGGGATTCAAAGTGGTTTATACATAAATGATGGCAAGATTCTGTGCCTTACATTGGCCATCGATACGATGCCAATACAAACAATTGCAATAGTAAAACCACAATTAAACATAAATCACAATTAAAACAATACATCAACAAGCATTAAAACAATGAAACAGTCTCGCAAATGACCTTGGAGGGTCATATCAGGCCCTTGGGCTTTAGTTTGAGGACCCCTGATCTCAGTGGTTCTCAGCCTGTGGGTCCCCGGGTGTTTTGGCCTACAACTCCCAGAAATCCCAGCCAGTTTACCAGCTGTTAGGATTTCTGTGAGTTGAAGATGAAAACATTTATTTGTTGTTTATTTATTTACTGTATTTGTATACCACCTTTCTCAGCCAATCGGCGACTCAAGGAGTTGAAGACGAAAACACCTATGGACTCACAGGTTAAGAACTACTGCTATATCTGAAAGGGCAGTATTCTTCTCAGTGTTGTAGTTCAGCCTTTGATTATGCCGGTACCTGATGTTTCTGAGGATTCTGGGCCTGTTAGTCATTCTGATGAAACTGGGGATTCTAGGTCTGCAAGTCAGCAGAGGAGCCAGCAAGAGATTTTAAGCCCTGAAAATGTCCAGTCTGTGTCTGAAGGCTACATTCTTGAAAGGCAGTTCGCTAGGGAAGCAAGGTCAGGAGCAGATCCGAGCTCAGAGGATGATCATGAAAGTCCAGGTGGACAATCTGATGAGCAGTTAGATAGGAGATTTACGTTCCATCAACATAAGGCTTCTTAAAGAGTGCGAAGGTCAAGATGCTTATTAGACAAGAAATCTTTTATCAGTATCCCTGGGGAGACGGCATGATTTTCTCTCTATATTAGCCAGCTCAGCAGATGGGCTCATTGGTCCAAGCAACGTTGGTGTTGAGTATAGATCCATGGTCAAGTCAAGAGATTTTTAGTTCTGTGTTTCCTTTTGTTGTTGTCTCATGATTCCAAGTTTTGAGGACTGTTCCTGAATTTCATGTTTTGTATTTATTCTGCTTTTGTATTCCTGGTTTTTGATGCTACTCCCGTACTTTCATTTATGTGGATTAGTCCTGATATTTGGACTTTGGTATTTTATAGTTTTGCTGAATTGCTTTTCATATATTTTCTACGATAAACTGCTTTGCTATTTTTACTTTGGACTGAAGTGTGTGTTAAGGACAGAGGTAGTTCTACATCTGGTCAGTGTCTTTCCATAAAGATGTATTAACTTAACAGTTCCAGGATTTTGACATCACTGTCAGGTGTTTTGATTTCCATACTCCAATTTAGTGTGTTCTAAACACCGTCTTTTTTTTCCTAGGGAGTTTCACTTTCGGCATCCTAAACGAGCCGTATCTTTAAGTATGAGGAAGAGTGGCGCCATGAAGAAAGGGGGCATTTTCTCAGCTGAGTTTCTTAAGGTGTTCATTCCATCTCTGTTCATATCTCATGTCTTGGCTTTGGGACTAGGGTAAGTATTTGAACATATATCGAATGTTTAGTATGCAGGACTTAATGTTGAGCAGCTAGGATCTTGTTTGCCCCCAAATGTCATTTGTCATGTCATTTTGCCACAACTGCTTGAATGAGCATGAAGAAGAAGTCATTTTATTTATATAATGTATACATTTCAGCATTTGGCTTCTATGCATTGTTCTGGAAATTACTTACATGCTATTTTCGTATTTCACAGTAATATTATCACAGTTGCTCTCCTTTAAAAGTATAGTTTGAATGGTATTAACAAGGAATTTAGAATCAACCCAATTGAGTGGTTTGAGTGTTGGACAGGAGATCAAGGTTCAAACCTTCATTCCGCTATGAAATGTACACAAGTCAAACTCTCAGTCTCAGAGAAAGGTAGTAATGCCTATCTGGACAAATTCTGCTTATATATATATATAAGCTGAATTTGTCATGTCAGAAGCAAAATGAGGCTACAGTTAAATGTATTTAAAACACAAAGTTTAAAACTTGGCGTTATGCTAAATGTCCTTTGACCTTTGGAGTGCATCTAGTGTGCTGCAAAAAGGTCCTCCATTGTGCATGTGGCAGGGCTCAGACTGCATTGTAGTAGTGGTCTGTGGTCTACTCTTCTCCACACTCGCATGTCGCAGACTCCACTTTGTAGCCCTATTTCTTAAGGTTAGCTCTTCATCTCGTGGTGCCAGAGCACAGCCTGTTCAACACCTTCCAGGTCGTCCACTCTTCTGTGTGCCCAGGAGGAAGTCTCTCATCCGATCTCAGCCATGGATTGAGCTTCCGGGCTTTAGCCTGCCACTTTTTGACTCTCGCTTGCTGAGATGTTCCTGCGAGTATCTCTGTAGATCTTAGAAAACTATTTCTTGATTTAAGGTATTGGCATGATGGCTGATAGCCAAACAGGGGATGGGCTGGAGATGTCACTGCCTTGGTCCTTTCATTACAGGCTGCTATTTCCCAACAGATGTCAGATGGTGCAATACCGACTAAACAGTATAATTTCTCCAGTGGTGTAGGACATAGACAATGATAATGTGGCATGTCTCATTAAGAGCCACATTTATTTATTTATTTATTTTATCGTTTTTGCCCCACCCATATCAGCCCAAGGGCGACTCAGTGCGGCGAACAATCGGCACAATTCGATGCCGTATGTAAAATACATACATCAATAAAATAAAACATCACATTACAATGTATCTAAAAACGTTAAAACAGTGAACAATAAAATTGTTTTAACATGGTGCAATGTACTCCACACTGGGCATGTGGATTCAGCAGCAGAGTAGCAAAGCACAAGGGCAGATGTCTTCACTGTGTCTGGTTGTGATCCCCAGGTTGTGCCAGTCAGCCAAGAAAGCCTCATAAAAGGCCTCATAAAAGGCCCTCCTTAGAAAATACATAACCATAGCAATGTCTGCTGCAAAGAAGCGGGGAACTATTGATCAGGGTTTGGCAGAAACGAGAAGAATGTATAATATACAAATTTGCATTTCATTTCAGTATCTACATTGGAAAACGATTGACTACACCTTCGGCCAGTACTTATTGAAAGACGTGATGCACAAAACCTGGAAATCCTTGTGGTCTGTGAAGGTGTTGATGTCACACTAGTACAATTGAACTTGAGGGAATTTTAAGCATGACTTCCCTTCCCAGCCTCCACCTTGTTTTTTTTGTTTTTGTTTTTTTCTTCTTTTCTTTTTTTAACATATCCAGGTTCCAGTAACTCTTGGAATTCAGTATTGGAACTCTGTGGAGGTGTCTTACTAGTCTTCTCTTCCTTTTCTCTTGCCTCCTTCCACATCCTGCAAAAAGACACATCAGAGTTGCCTAACCGAGTTTACAGTTGCTTCTATGTTTGCAAGGGCTTCTTTCAGTGCAAAATGCCACCAGCAAATTATAGTGTTTATCAATGAGGCTGTTGTCTCCACTTTACTACAGCAGGAAGTCATCTGCACAGTGCGTACTCGAACTGTCGAATATAAAAATCTCTCTTTTCTAAAAAGAATTCGAGAATTAACCAAAGTTGGTTGTAAAAAAAAAAGATGAACTGAAAGTCATGGGCGATTTTTTTTCTTCTTCCCTCAAGTAAGAACTGTACGCAAATAAAGTGTGGCTTTATTTTCCAGTTCTTCCAATGTTTTTGCTTTGTCGGGAGGCAAGAACGGCACAAAAAAAATCAAAGCAGGATAAAATTGACTCATCAGCAACTTTTAATACTGAGTGGTTCTCATTATCTTTTCTATGGAGGACAGTTGGCCCTCCACGTTCGCGTGGGTCAGGAGCGCAGGACCCCCACAAACATGGTCCCTCAAACTGTATTCAATGCACACAAAAATACCTGTGTTGGTGGCTTGGCCGAGCCGTGATGTATGTCTTCCCCTCCGCCAGTTTGATTTCCTCCCAGCGACCAAAGATCTGACTTCAGACTTAACCGAACGCAGATCAAGATGGACAACAGTGTCATCAAGATCCCCGTTAAAAATGGCAAAAGGCAGCGGCAAAGCCAACAGCAAATAATCAGATCTGCAAACGTTCAGTTCGCAAATGTGGAGGAACGACTGTAGTGACTTGTATCTCTGAGATAGAAATAATTCCAATACAGCTATACGACATTTTCTTTTTAGGATTGCATTATTTGCATGTGAAGAAGCTTCTGGTATTCTTTAGTGTTCTATCGAATGAAGACTCCTTTTGAAAGTAGTTTGACTTGAAGTATATAATTTTTTTTAGTATTTAGACTCCATGTAAAAGGAGGAGCTACTTGGTTTTGGAACCCACTTTGGATGGTGTCGGCAACTACCTTAACGGCATCCTATCTGGGAACATTCTTGCAGTTTTGTGAGTTTCATTACTGCCATTTAAAAAAAAAACCTCTAATCTCCTTGGAAATATCTGAAATCCTAAGGACCTATCACTACTAGGCGGTGCAAGTGGTACCTTGAATAGCTATGTAGCAGTCTCTCAAAAGGAAACACTCAGCTTGGTCTTCCTTCCCCAAGATCAGAAACTCGCTTCCAGATTGCTTTCCACAGATAGACACAAGCAGACGCCCCTCGGTCGATCTGCATTGGATTTTGAAACATAGTATGATTCCGAATGATAGTTTACTCTATGAATGACATACTTTAATACTACATATTTAGGAACACATTATTAACTTTAAAACTAGCAAAATTACATTCACTGTAGACCAGGTATGGGCAACCTTGGGCCTTCTAGGTGTTTAGGACTTCAATTCCCACCATTCCTAACAGCCTCAGGCTCCTTCCTTTTCCCTGAGTCTTTCTGAGTCTACAAGTCAGCAGAGGAGCCAGCAAGAGATTTTAAGCCCTGAAAATGTCCAGTTTGTGTCTGAAGGCCACATTCCTGAAAGGCAGTTCGCTAGGGAAGCAAGGTCAGGAGCAGATCTGAGCTCAGAGGATGGTAATGAAAGTCCAGGTGGACAGTCTAATGAGCAGTTAGATAGGAGATTTATGTTCCATCAACATAGGGCTTCTCAAAAGAGAGTACGAAGCTTAAGCGGCTGTGGGGGGAAAGGAAAGGGCCTTTGGCTGTAAGGAATTGTGGGAATTGAAGTCCAAAACACCTAGAAGGCCCAAGTTTGCTCATGCCTGCTATATATAAACTGACAGCGAAACCAGACAAAAAAATTAGAGTTACCAGACCCGTGGAAACACAAGTGCCCATTTCCCCCTTTTTGCATCAGACTACTGAAAGTTTTTGAAAAAGAAAGGCTTGTCCATTTGAGCATGCTCGCTAACACCAGTGGAAATCAGTGAAGCAAAGAAGGTAAGCATTCCTCACAAATATTAACTACAGTGCCCAGAATCCCTGTTGGTGACTTATTCCTAGGTAATACGCCAGGTAGTCAGGCACAGGAATTACATAGCTATAGAGAGAGATCATTCACAGATCTGGTGTTGGAGATAGATTTTACTGCCTTTGTAGCAGAAACGGGCCATTTTGCGTCTTCCGACAACGGTGTGGTTATGGCGACGTAACAAGATTGTGATTCTGCAACACATAAAAGCCTCTCTTATTGCCTGATTCTGTTCTAATGTCTGAGAACACCCCCTCCCCTGGCCCACCACCTCTCTTTGAATGACAGCACTTATATTGTATTATCGAAGTCTTTCATGGCCAGAATCACTGGGTTGTTGTGAGTTTTCTGGGCTGTATGGCCATGTCCCAGAAGCATTCTCTCCTGACGTTTTGCCTGCATCTATAGTAGGCATCCTGACAACTCTGAAATGCAAAACATCAGGAGATGCTTCTGGAACATGGCCATACAGCCCAGAAAACTCACAACAATACAGCACTTGTATTGCTTTCAGCTATTTTTTTTCTGGGTGTGAGTAATTTTGAAGTGATTCTATGCATTAAGACAATAGTGCCAAACTTGTGGCCTTCTAGGTGTTTTGGACTTCAGCTCCCAGAATTCCTGGCCATTGGACAAGCTGGCAAGGGCTTCTGGAAGTTGGAGTCTGAAACATCTGGAGGGCCACAAGTTGGACACCTCTGCATTAAAGAGTTTTTAAAAAAAGATCAGGTAATACTAAATAGTATTAAAAGCCTGATAGTACTTCCATTGCCGATTCTTGTACCTTGTTTTGTAAAACTCAGTGAAAGGATATACAGTAGAGCCTCGCTTATCCGACATTCCGTCTCATCCAATGCTCTTATATAACGCCCCTCTTTTCCTCCAGCATTTCCCCTTCAATTAAAGGAGTGCTCCCAACTCTCTCTCCATTCTCAATGAGTTAAAAAAGGCAAGACAAGGAGGGGGAGAATGGAGGAAAGCGGAAAAAGAGGCAGGAGGAAGGGCCCTCCCTCTTTCCCTCTGATTTCCACACTCCTCTTACTCATCTGGGAACTTCCTGCTGGGCCACTCTACCCCAAGGCATTGCCTTGCCTTAACCCTTTGACTCCCTGTTGTTGGAATTCTAGGTATCTAGTGCTGCGTTGGATGGGTAACAGTAGGAGACTCTGTATTATCCGACATTTTCGTTTCTCCGACGTTCTGCCGGCCTGTTTATGTCAGATAAGCGAGACTCTACTGTACCATATATCTATGGAATTGGGACCATCTTACAAAATGAGACAAATAAAGCTTTGCTCCTTTCCAAATTATGCAGTGGTTTATCTGCAGTGCTGTGTGAAAGATTGATCCATCTACATGTGTGACTAGGTGACTAACTTTCATCACAACGTCAGTTGATGAGCTACTAACGACTGGCACTGCTCATTGACCTTGTTGCTCATTCACTTCTTTGCTACTGTTTTCCCAGCAGCTGTGAGATTAAAATGGATGATGGGTTTGGGGATTTGATTTCCTGACCATTGTTGCAGTGCAGTGATCTAAATCAGTATTTATTACCATAATAACTAACCGTAAGCTTGAAAGAGCGTGACTTTTTGTTTTGTTTTACTTTGAAATGGGCCAGGTCATTATAATTTGAAAAAAAGGGGTTATCAAACATAAATGTTTGTTAAAATGAACATTGTTAAATAGCTTTATACCTGTTTACAGTTTTTTTGGGGGGAGGGGGGAACACAGGTCTTGTTTTTCAAGCGATCAGTGGAAAAAACAGGGCTTGAAATGTTTGTACGTAGGATCAAGCAAAAATGCGTAAACTCGCACATTAAAAAGAATGCAGCAGGTTGAACTGCATTATGAGCAAAATGAAAAACCCATCTATTTACTATTTTTAAAAAAATCTGAAAAGCTCTGTTGGAATTAACACTTTTTAAAAAGAAAAAAATACGTTGGTGAAATTACTGTAGTTAACTGAGCCAAAGTAATTAAGTATTCTTCATATTTAGTTAGCACTTTGTTACATTATTATATACAGTTTACAGTACTTGTATAAGTTGTAGTTCTAAACATTTTGTGCCATTAAAGCTGTCATAAAACTGAATTTGTTCCAGTTGTTTCTTACTCATCATTTATGTTTTTGAACCCGTGTTTGGACATTTTCACCCGTTTTTTGACTATGTCTCTTCCCATACAGGTATTTGCTCACGTACAAGGATTATCCAGAAAGTAAGTGTTGTGAACCAGAAGCCTTAACAGAGCCAAACACAAGGGTAAAGGTCCAACAAAGTTTATTAAAGTAACAAAAATGGCTTAGAAACACTTAACTCAGTGTTACTAGCAAAAACTGAACGTCTGTAGCAAAAAGCCAAGCAAAAAACACAACTTGGAATAAAATCTGGATTATACTGGAATATAATCTGGGATAACAAAAAGTATCGGCAAACTGCTTCAAAAACACAGAGTCCAATAAACATCAATAAACAAGGTAGGAGCAAACAAAAACGTAGTCTAGAAACAGTCCAAGGTCAAGGCATGTCCAGAAGAAGTTGTAGTAGTCCAAAACGCGAGGTCGTCGTCCCAAAAACAATCCGAAGTCAGCAGGAAGATAGCAGTCAGCACTTACAGGATTCCAGACGGTAGAAGCACGGAAACACAGAGATCTGCAGCCCCAGGACCCAAGGCGAGAGTAATGGCAGCAACAAAGTCCCAAGCCCAATACAACACTTTGCCTACTGCCAAGTTCCAATAGTTTGATACCTTACTTTTATCCTATAAGTCCTCATCAGAGGTGGAGCTGGACTCCACCCTGCCTTTGCTTCCACATCTGCTCGCCACCACCCGTCCCTCCAACTTTTCCAGCGTCTATCAAGACTTAGATCACCCCATGTATTTCCAGGTTGCCAGTCTCCTGAAAACCCTTCAAACCTCACTCGATGTGGGTTGGGTACATATGTCCCTGATCTCTTGTACACGGGTCTAATCTAACCAATCCTCCTCCCCGTCATCACTCCCCGTAAACCCCATGAAGTCTTCCTCCTCAGTTGGAGCATTAAGTATTTCACGGATCTGCTTCCTTTCTCTCTCTTCATCTGACTCTTGCTCCTGAGTAGCCCGTTTCAAGCCTCTGCCCCCATCTCCCTCCTCCTCCATTTCAGAATCTGAGAAACCTTCAAATGATTCAGAATCTGTAGGTGTCATGAATATCTCCCTAATTCGCTTCCTTTGCTGCTCTTGATCCAGCACTTGAGCAGCCCTCTTTCCCCTCCTACTACCAGTTGTAGCTTTCTCAACACAGTCTACTGCAACAGTAAGGTTATAAGATTTTTTCCAAATACGAAGAATGAATATATTTTAGTAAAACTTGCATGGATTATAGCATAGGTATTACATTATTTTTCCACATAATCACCATTCAGTTCAATACATTTTGTCATCCGTGGGACAGGTTTTTGTTGCCTGTGTCATAGAAGTTTCCCTCCACCTTTTTCAGCCAGTTCATCACTTTGATTGTCACCTCATAATCGGCCGAAAACTGTTTTCCACCCAGGTGTCCCTTCAATTTAGTGAACAGATATTACTCACTGGGTGCAAGATTGAGGCTGTGAGAGGGGTAGCTTTAAACATCCCAAACAAATGAAGTCAACAACTCTTGTATTGTATAAGCGGTGTAGGGACACACTATGTCATGACTCCCACCATTAGCATCCCACAACATTTGTTTTGGATGGCTCTGCAAAGTTTCTTCATGGTCTCACAATATATTCCGTACCCATTTTGTCACATGCTATCTTGACATAATAATAATAATAATAATAATAATAATAATAATAATAATAATAATAATAATCTTTATTTGTAACCCGCTACCATCTCCCCAAGGGACTCGGTGCGGCTTACATGAGGCCTAGCCCACAATACAACAATAAACAATAACAACAATAATACAAAACAATAAATAAACTCATAAGCAATAAACTAACAATAACACGACGCGTTTAAAAACCTATGGCTCGGCCAAATGTAATAATTAAAAATTTTAAAAAATAATGCTGGGCATGAACAAGGTGACATATAACTGGGATAGAAGTTTTGGAGAGGGAAGAAATGTGCAGACAACCAGTAAATGAACAGTAGCCAATGGAGCTCCTTAAACAGAAGGGTTGACCACTCCCTGTAAGGAGCTCCAGTTAACAACCTGGCTGCCACTCATTGAACCAGTTGAAATTTCCGGGCCGTTTTCAAGGGCAGCCCCACGTAGAGTGCATTACAGTAGTCCAATCTGGAGGTGACTAAGGCATGGACCACCCTGGCCAGATCCGTCTTCACGAGGTACGGTCGCAGTTGGCACACGAGTCTTAATTGTGCAAAGGCCCTCCCAGCCACTGCCGACGCCTGAGCTTCAAGCGTAAGTGATGAGTCCAGGAGGACACCCAGACTGCGGACCTGTGACTTCATAAACTTCCACTGAAGTGATTTTGTGATGAATTGCAGTGGTGTTCATGCCCTTAGCATGTAGGTAATGCATTACAGCACGCATTTTGCATTTGGAGGGAAACTGAATGAGGACGCTCATCTCTAACCTTCACCACAACGCCAGTTGATGCGCTACTAACGACTGGCACTGCTCATTGACCTTGTTGCTCATTCACTTCCGCTGGCTTCCCCGCTACAAAGCAATGATATCAATATCCCATGGAGCCCCCGTTGGCGCAGTGGGTTAAACCCCTGTGCCGGCAGGACTGAAGACTGACAGGTCGCAGGTTCGAATCCGGGGAGAGGCGGATGAGCTTCCTCTATCAGCTCCAGCTCCTCATGCGGGGACATGAGAGATACCTCCCACAAGGATGATAAAACCATCAAATCATCCGGGCATCCCCTGGGCAATGTCCTTGCAGATGTCCAATTCTCTCACACCAGAAGCGACTTGCAGTTTCTCAAGTCGCTCCTGACACAACAAAAAACAAAAACCAACATCCCATGAGAAAATTCCTTCAAGAGTTACATGCCTTGTAACCTTACTTTCCGGATAACCCTCATATATTCCAAGTTGTCAATTGTGCATTCAGACATGCTCTTGAGATACTTCACTTTTATGTAACTTATTGATAGGATAAGGATGCTGGGAAGAAAGACAACTTATTGCTGAAGGCACACTTCACACCACAACCTTGAATTGCAGTTTAGGTGAGAAACATACTACATTCTGTGCTAGCCTTTTATTCTATTGGTGGGGTTCAAGGCACTCTTTGATCATAGGTGAACTATAAATCCCAGCAACTACAACTCCTAAATGTCAAGGTCTATTTTCCCCAGACCCCACCAGTGTTCACATTTAGGACATATTGAATATCCATCATTGTTTGAGTCCACAGTGCTCTGTGGATGTAGGTGAACTGCAACTCCAAAACTCAAGATCAATGCCCACCAAACTCTTCAGTATTTTCTGTTGATCATGAGGGTTCTGTGTGGGAATTTTGGCACAATTCTATCGTTGGTGTGGTTCAGAATGCTCTTTGATTGTAGATAAACTATAAATCCCAGCAATCACAACTTCCCAAATGTCAAGGTCTATTTTCTCCAAACTCCACCAGTGTTCACATTTGTCCATATTGAGTATTCATGCCAAGTTTGGTCCAGATCCATCATTGTTTGAGTCTACAGTGCTCTCTGGATGTAGGTGAACTACAACATCAAAACTCAAGGTCAATGCCCACCAAACCCTTCCAGTATGTGGTGGAGGCTCCTTCTTTGGAAGCTTTTAAACAGAGGCTGGATAGCCATCTGTCAGGCGTGATTTGAATGCAATATTCCTGCTTCTTGGGAAAATGGGGTTGGACTGGATGGCCCATGAGGTCCCTTCCAACACTTGGATTCTATGATTCTATGGAAGGCACACAACAACAATGGAAATTTATCACCGGCAGTGATTTTTCCCCCAGTGGCTTTCTTTTCTTGCAGGAGAGTTGAGCAGGAAATGGTAACTCTTATGCATTTAATCAGATTGGATGGATATAGCACCTCTTTGTGCATGTCGTTTTTGATGGCTAAATTGTGCAAAGGGCAGAGGTTAATTGCGTGTTTGAGTCCCTGAGTTTTCCCTGAGAGCCGACAATTGTTCACGTTGCTAAGGGAGAGAGAGACCGGCGATGAGTGCGGGGACCATTCTGTTTGGGATGTCTCCCTGGGTTTCCTGATGTGAAGGCTGGGATCATAGGATTGGCTGGGTTTGCAGTGGCCTGACATGTGATGTCACTCCGACCTTGCTTATTCACCGGATTTTGCCGACTAGGCTCTTACTGCCGCTTATTGAAAGAGACAGCAGTGGGTTGGTGCTGAAAGGTATCAGCCCTCCTTCCAACTGGGAGGTAGGCGGTGCATGGCTGAGGACAGAGCTAGGGCCAAAACGCAGCAGGAACAAAACCAAGAATGAGTGGGATTTGCGGCTGGAGATTATTGCTCCAGTGTTTCCTTTCTTGACAATGCAGCTGTTCTGGCAGGCCTCCCTACTTCCAGTAGACGTTGATGAGGACAGGTTTGTAGTCAAGACTTTGTAGCAGGCCTGCTAAAACATGATGCTCTCAATCTGTAATCTTCTTTTGTGGAATTAGTGCACAATACTTTAATGTGGATGTTATGTAAACAATGGGTTTACATTTCTCCATTTTTCCCCCCAAAGAGTTTAAGGTGGTCTCAAGAATAAAATAAATTCCTATTTTCCCGTTTAAATCACTTTCCAAAGTGCGAACAGCAGCGAGGCTCGGATTTTGACAATCAGCTGTTTCCTTAAAATTATATTCTTAAAATTCAAAAGGTTATTCCCCGAGCGCACAGGCCCGAAATACAAAAAGTGAGATAGCAGATAGTGTTAGAATTTAGCCAGGAAAAATATGCCATCAAAATGGAGCCGATCCGCCATTGCGCAGATACGGGGCCCCGAAGGGCTTCCGTATCCGCGGTTTGGGGGAGCACAGATTCGGCCTCCCTGGAATGTCAGGGAGGCATCCCAGGCAGGCCTGCAGTCTCCCGCGGCACGGAAAAGGTTAGTTTCATGCACTTTGATAGTTTCAGGCAAGAAAGGGACACAAAGATTCAAGCTGGAGA